CAGTGACGGCAGAGCACAGCGCTCTGTCGAAGGCTCAGCACCTAGCGCGAAAGCGCCCCACCGAGCTTGGAAATGAGGTTGCACTGCCTCTGCTAAGCTTTCGAGACGTTGTCCCTGTAGCCCGACGGCCTCTTCGACAGCCTTCAGCAACCTGTATTGCTCTTCCCAGGTATTGTCAATGCTCATCCATCTGTCGTCTCATCTCTTACTGCTGCTCGAGTAGCGCGGACTGACTATCGTGCTGTGCTTGCAGGTACCCTGACGTTTTGCGCAGCAAAGGCTGTCCTGCTGGCGGTGCACTTGGCCTAACTATTCCACAGTCATCTGGGTGCACCGCGGCAGAGTGCTAAAGCAAAGCCTCGACTTGGGCGACTGGTGTCACTACCCGATCACTGTAGTTCTGGTAGTCGTCTCTTCGAGTCTCAGATTGTGATCGGTAAAGGGATGTAACGGTGGGTATACCGCTACCACTACCTGCGCTCCACCACCGGAATGCGGCACCATTGCTTCGTCTGTTTCTTACATGACTGGGAGCGACTTCCAGCTCAAGAATTCTTTATTGTGTCGCTCAGTGTAAAGGTAGAAGTGAGTATATTAAAGAGATTTGTGTTTCGGTTTTCAACCTCTATGCCCGTTGGATTTGTAACCTCGTTACTTGCTGCAGCTGCAAAACTCCTACGTCCTCGCATGAACTCATCTTCCCACTGCAGCTGCAAAACCTCTACACCATCGCGTACGCGATGAGGCGAAACCTCTGCTCAATGAGTGCATCCGTTGTTGAATCAAACCCCGACAAAATTTGCACGCTGTAGCTTCAGCTACAACAGATGGAATACATGTACATAAGGGCGCCAACCGAAGCTCATGTATCACCATCATGTGCTGGGCTAGTGCTCTTTTTATGTCAGTTCCATGGAGGACAGCACGCTCTTCCTGCTGTTCGGGGTACACAAGCGAGAGCTCTAGCGCAGAGCAGAGGAGAGTACGGAATTTTGCCTAATCTAGAAGCTCAATCGAAATAGCTGCTTCGTAGAGTAGAGGATTGGACTGGTGGTGCTTGAAGGAGTATGTTTTATTCGGTAGAGTAATACACAGTACAACATTTGAGGGAAGGTCAACCTGTAGCGGTAGTGAAAAGGAAAACCGTGGCGTGACTCTGCATAATACACAGCAATTAAATTCATTATTATCACTTAAAAAGTATGTATCTGCTAAGAAAAGGAAAATATGATTATTAAAGCAATATCAATACATATTTAAGACAGCGTCAAGCAAAATGTTATTAATGCGGCTTGGAGAGTTATCGAGATTAAAGTTTGATCGATGTTAGAGTCACACTATGAATGTGTGCCTTCGTACTTAAGTGCATATAAAAGCCACCACGCGGGCACAATTAGATGTGTCCAGGAAACAAAGTCACAAAAGGCACACGCTGAGCATAAATAACGTAATTTTAAATTCATAAATTTCATTAATCATAGGCTTTCTGGGGTGTATGCGCATACATCATCGAATCTAATTGTAGCTTGAATGTAGCACGTACACTGGCTCGAAATGGAATGTTACGTGATTGTACAATTGACGTAGTGATAATATCGGCTATACGACAACCAACATTGTAAGCCGTACGAAATTTATTCGTTTCGTTAAGCACACGATGGTGATATCCGTTTAGCGACGATTCACGAACCCGGAACGAACGACATGCTGCTTCACCCCCTGAAACTTCACATTCCTCCACAGGTAAATTTGATCGGGACGTCAAGCACCATCGTGGGTTAATGTGTCCTAACAGATTCGGACTCTTTTTCAAAAATAGGCGCCAGTAAATCACGTGCCGACATGGCAGTAGTTTAGTCCTCGCAAACGTACACGAACAGCGGTAGTTCTGCAAAATATGAAGATAAAAGACACGTGAGGTTTTGTCATGAAAGTATAGATAAATATTGGACGCACCCTAGTATCAACGTGGTATAAGCCGTCGAATCCTCGGACGACGTCAGCTCGAACACATACTTCTGTAGCTCATGGATTGTGTAGTGCGTCTTTCTGTCGTTCGCCACACGATATTGCTTTTCAGCAAGTTGATCGGCGTGTTGACTGACCTCTTTCGCTAGCTTCTCGAGCTCTGCATCGGACCCCCCCGTAACGCATGTAGCCGACGTCGGTGATCTTTTTAGCATACTCGAGCTCATCTATTGATTGCAAGAAAATAAGAGTATCCACACATTCGTCTAGCATCATTGTCGGTTTCAAAACATCCTTTAAATGACCCCACCCAGCTTCTAGACTAAAGCGACCGAACATTGTTAAAGTTAGTACAATTTTATTTTATCTGCAAAAACATTCTTACCGATTGTTTGTTGTGTTGTCTAAGTGAGGCACGTCAGAGCGACCAAACCCACTCCACATTCTTCTGCACTCATGCCAGTTCTTGTCAAAGTACTCCACGAACGGGTGCAGGGATTTTGGAACATCTTGATCTAATTTAATCTCACGTCCCTCCACAACGTAGTACATATACTTCCGAGCTGTATCGTACTCGAGCCCCGTCTGAGCGTTCAGCATCATATGAACAGCATCTTCTACTTTTCCGCGATCGAAAGCTCCATAATCGCTTTTAGCCGTTTCAGTACGGAGGTACTTGACGACATGAAACACGCAAAGTAGAATTCGAGCACCAAAAACTCTGCACGAAGAAGTAAAATTTCACCTAGATCTTTGTCAACAACGATGACACGGATTTTATCCCAGGTAGGGTTGGATGTCTTGAAAGAAGTGACGGCGTCCGTAAGACATTAAGCGCTCTCATTTTCCATCAGTGCATGCTGGGTGTATTGTCCCTATTTCACACACAGATCACAAACAACCACAATGAGGCATCAAGAATTACAATAGCAAAGACACAGCACCGAGGGGCACAAAGCGACACAAAAAGACAAAATGACACACTGTGCGTCACAAAGAACCAAAAATAATCACGGAGTTGTCACTTACATGGCCGAATACGTCATGAATCATAAAGCTAAACAGCTTATACCGAGCGTCATTGATGTTGTGGGTGGCATCCACCATCATCACTTCTGGAAAAGCCTCAAAGAAGCGGCGCATCTGATGAGTCTGAAAGGTGATCGTCTGAGCCAGTTTATCTTCGTCGACATAGATCGTAGCTGTGTTTCCCTTCTTAGAACAAAAATCACGGAAATAGCAATCCAGTATAGATTCCACAGTTGTAGCTCCCCACCGTGCTTCCTTGATATTGACAACCATGTTGTGTACGTCCCTTAGGGTGACTCGCTTGCTTATAATAAATGCGGTTTAGTAACGGTACATATCTCATAATAAATAGCCGGCGTACCTGTTTTCCGCCTCAAATTCTCCATGATCATCTTTTTCTTCGCTCCAGCCGCCTGCAGCTCCTCGACGAAGCCGATGATGTCATCATCTTCAACTCGACGGTTCGCAGGGTGATTGGCGTAGGTGAGTTGACCGAGAGGGTGATTGTGGACAGTGGATTGCTGAGTTACTTTCACCTGGAAGCCTTAACCAGCAACCTAGACCACTGTAAGATACAACTGCGCCTGACATTATGTCGACTTCATAAAATAGTTCTCTCGTTTCCCTTTAGATTGGCATGGCCGTAACCATCCATGCGTGCATATCATCCGCTGGTAATACTTTTCGAAAGAAGCTGGAATAACTGTTGTAGATGTAGCCTTTCCACGGCGCGTGAGGTCCGTGTTTCTTGCCTCGACACTCGTAGACGTCCTCTTGCGGAAGACTTGGTACGTTTCACATTGATACTTGTCCAGATACTAAAAAAAAAATAGCCCAGCCCGCGAAATGACGCTTCTCCATAGGCCGCGCAACGAGCTTTCTGTTATCATGAAAGGGAATATGGTCCTCGGTGTCAATCGCTAGAGAAGCAGGGGGCTGCCTCTGCGTGGCCTCATCAGCGGCGTCGGAATCCGAGGTAGACATGGAGCTGTTCATATCTCTGATGACGGCGAGCTTCTACAGCGCTTCAAATCTTTCAAAATGAAAGGCTGTTTGGCGCGAAAAGAGGGGAGGGGTGAAAGGGGAGAAGGGGGTGAATATTTTGAAATTCGTGGCAGTTCAAATGTAGAGATTTTATAGTCGTAAATTACCAAAACTCATAGTGTGCCTTTATCCACATTTTTCGTACATAAGTGAATTATGGATAAACGGCCCTGTTCTCTGGATTTTAATCCAGAGTTGTTATCTGGAGGTCTGAATTTTGAAATGATAGCACACGGAAACTTAATATTATATCACAATATACTGCAATCATTACAAGACGAAATGCGATGTCGCGTGTGCCTCAATACACATTAAAGGAGTGTTGGTCCATACTAGCGCAACATTCACTGGGTTCCCAGGCACTCATCTGTCACTATTCTAGTTTCGTTTTCTTCCCTTTCCCCAAGCTCCCACGAAACTAGCAAGAAAGAAGTGGAAGGGATGCTTCGGCGTATTCAACAGCTTCAAGTCCAAGAGGACCACGCTCGCAAGTGCACGACAGTTGACGAGCTGCGCATTATTGCGACCAATCCGATTGAGGACCCAGTTCGAGCCATCATGCGCCTTTATGGCAAAGCACCATTTGCACGAGGAGTGCACCTAACGGTGTTCGATGACTGCAGCAGAGATGAGTTTGTGCAATCTAGCAAAGGTCTTCAAGGTTTGACGCATGCTGACCAGCAAAGCTTGATCTTTCGTGTGACGGTGTGGGGCGCTGATGTGACCGACTGGCATGTATGTTCGTGGGATCCTGCTGGAATTCTAGTTCCCAGTCCTCGTATTATTCACACTAACTAATGAGATCCCAGGGAAGCGATAACTTGCTTGCAAACTGTCGAAATCGCATCTAAACCTTCACTTGCAGCGTTTTCCGAAAGCTGTAAGATCGTAGCGTAAATCACATCCACATCCACTGAATCTCGAAGAGAATTGACGCTAAGAAGCGACTCCAACAACTCGAGAGTGACGAGAACCAGCTCGACGTCCTCTTCGTACAGAGGCCAGCGAGAGAGAGGTTCGTGTAAAGTCTGGGTGACAGTCTGTGGGTTCGTCTTGCAGAATGACACCACGTGGAGAAGCAGTTTACGTTCTTCTCGGATTAATCCACAGAGAATCAGGAACGAATGCACATTCTCGGACGAAACCACGGGATCCAGGAGGAAACTGATGAAGTCGCTGATCCACGGATGATTTTCCACCTGGTACAGTGCAAAACATTGGTTAGTTTAGCCATTTCAAGACACAAAATACAGCACACGTACCCGGAAGTCATCACTCTCAGCACAACCAACGAGCACAGTGGCGATAGCTTCAGTACGAAGACGCAGGAACTTGCCCCATTGAGATCCGTCTAGCATTGCAGGAAGCAGAGGCTCCATTAGTTCATTCGCTATTGGGTAAATATCCTCACGACAGGCTGCTGCAATTCGCGTAAGACCAGACACGATACGGTTCGCTGTCGACTTGGAATATCGATCCAGTTGATTGATAGCCTGACAGAGCGTCACGACAGCAAGTTGACGGCATGTTGCGTACTCTGCACTAGCTTCGGGAACTGTGGAGGCTCGTAAAACTTTACGCTACGCAGTACCGTGGAATTAATCCGTTGGGGCCGTCCATCCCTCATTCTATTCGGTATTCCCAGTATAAAAGTACACTAAATCCAGAGCTTCCCGTGCACCGCACGGCATTGTTTTTAATTTAAAAATTTGAGCGTCAGCGACAAAGGACTGCGACAGAGAAACAAAAGCAATTGAGCGATCTCCTACAAATAGCCCAGGCGTCTTCACTTTCCGACGTGATTCCAGATACCGGTTCGGCTACAGACGCGCCCGTACGGAGAGGTTGAGACAGCGTAAGTGACGAAGAGGAGAAGCGGGTAGCTCCCGACAACGAATCAGTAGCAAATGAGGAGTGTGACGATAGTGACGACGAAAACTCCACCCCAGAGTCAGACACAGATAGCAGCAGGATTGAGCTGCATTCTCAAGAAAGCGTCTCCAGCGAGCACGAAATAGAAGAGAATATTAGTATATATTTGATCGATGAAGATCTCCGAACACAAGTCACAGAGGTAATTCACGCCGTTGAGGGCGGAAGCCGTTGCGTGGAGGGCAAGGCTATAGAGCTGGAGTACCTGCTAAGCTCACTAGCCAAGATGTCCAAGTCAGAGCGAGCAACAAGCCTATATACGCTGCTAGTAACACTAATGGTGGCACCCACTGCAGAGCACAAGCGAGGAAAAAGCGTCCGCGAAAAGTTTCATTACTTTTTGCCCTCGTTTGTCGGTTGGTTTTCGCTCTCTGCTACGGGGTGGTTCAGCTTACAATTCAACGTTACAAGCCGTGCGTCCGTAGCGCCAATTTCGCCAGCCCCAACCACGGCAACAGTCGTAGCAAGTAGGTTGATCAAGTGGACGTCGTTTGGCTGGTCAAATGTGTCACGTCATTTGCGAAAGAAGTCGGCGAAGTGGTGCCCGTGCGGGTGCGATTGCAGAAGACAACTAATGGCACAGTCCAGAAGTACTATAGCAGTGACAAGCACACTCTTCTACCCGCTCACCTTACTTGGAGCGTCATCTATGATGAGATGCACAAGTTTGTTGAGCCAGGACTCATGGTTCGCGAGTTGGCCCGTTCGACAAAGCGAAACATGCTCTGACTTCACTGCCTCAATACCCGAATCCAATCTCCTCGCAGCAATGTTCGTGATATCTGCTCGATTTACTATTCTGGTATGCGGAGTGATATTACAACAGACAAGACGGAGGCGCTGGGACGTCACACTGAATCGGCGAGGCATATGCGATAAGTTTGTACTGGGCGATAAGGATCATGTTCATACACACAATGTAATAACTGCAAATTTTGGGAAAAGTTGAATTTATGGTAAACGGGCATACACGCAGAGACATAAGCTCAGCACACGGAAAATCATGCTTGTCTAGGAATGTACTACTCCAAAAGGCGAACACATCCAACGGGGCGGGGAATCGCCCCTCCAAGGGGTATTGTTGCGCGCTGGGTTCTGTGAAACTGAATTGGGACGGACTCGGAATACGATGGAATGCAGACTAATTGTCGGGGTGGTACACCATCAACGCGCTATGGGGAGCGATCGTATTTAACTCGATGCGTGCCGCATTCTTGTTGGAAGTTTCAGTTTCACTTGTAAGAAGGTACTCACTTATCCAACGCAAATAATTGTTCCGGTCAAAGCAAAAACAACTGCGTGATCATGTTTCTGGTTGCGCAAGTTGACATGGGGTGCCTCAAGCACGTTGATTATATGTTTTTTGTCAAAGGTCACACAAAGAACCCGTGTGACCAAGGCTTTGGGCACATCCGGAAGCACATCGGTAGTGTAGATATCTGGACGATGGAATACCTTGTGGAAGCAGTTGATGCGGCAGCAATAGTAGCATACTGTGCATGTACCACAAGAAAGTGGTATCTTTGAAACGTACAAACACGTTCTGACAGAGCTATACAAATTTTAGAATGATTTCAGCAATACCAGATTTTTTCTATGGACATGGGCAAGCCCGGTGTCATATCGTACCGAAAAGGACCCAACTCTTGAGGTCGTGGAAAAGGACTTGCGTCGAAAGTATATTGGAATCCGGACTCCTAAAGCGAAGGTTGTGCGGGTGATGACACAGCACGTTGAGGTTCAGCCAGCCCCACAAATCGCTTAGATGTTCATAATGAATCATAATGATAATCATTGTCACTCTGAAACTCAGCAGGAACGTAAGGCCGAATTGATAATATCCAGGATATTATATCCTGGATATTATCCTATATTAGGGTCACTCTGAAACTCAGCAGGAACGTAAGGCCGAATTGATAATATCCAGGATATAATATCTTAAGGCCGAATTGATAATATCCAGGATATAATATCCTGGATATTATCAATTCGGCCTTACGTTCCTGCTGAGTTTCAGAGTGACCCGCTGTACACCAAGCCAAGCGGTGAAGAGGACGCTAATGCTATGACCACAAAACAAGCAGGTCGGGCCCACTGAGCTGCACTGGCGGATGCGGCTAATGCGAATCAAGACCAGCGTGGTATGCCGGAGAACAATAGTGTGACCGACGATTTACCTGAAAATACCGACAAGAAGAAGCGTATATCTAAGGCGAAGATATCAAATGGAGCGCTAAATGCGACTGTTGCGGAAAGAGCCCCTTTGCCGGCACAGAAACAAAAGGCTGCAAGCTGCCAAACACTAAGTTTGTTGCCAAGAGAGATCTAGAGTGATATTAGGTAAGAACGATACCTACATCCGGTGGATAATCATAAGGCCCTAATTTCTCCGTTGGGGTCTGATTTGGGAAATTAGGAGATGCATGCTATTTGGCCATCGGATTATTCCCCGACAAGCTGTTTATTCCCTCCCCATGGGGGGGATAAAGTGCGGATTATATTCCGAGATAGGCACTGATTTACAAAAGACACCAAAACAATCTTGTGGCTGCGACGGAACACGGCGATGGAGCAGAAGAAGCTGCAGCAATTCTACTTCTGGTATGCGGGAGCGATTGCCGCGGGCACGGGACGAATTCGGGAGAACAATGCAAATTAGTTAACTGTAGCAAAACTTGACTTTGACGCGCTATTGACATCTCCGTGTTGTGAAGCTTGGTATCGAGGAAGTTTGTACTGTTCTCAGTGCAGCTTCGTCAAGATTTGTGACCTTCTCCGCCCTCATGCCCCTCCTCATCTATAGGCACATTTCAAAGTCCAGAGAATAATTAAACCCCTTCGGATTTGCACTTTCAATTAAAAAGCCTAAATTTAATCGTATTGCCATGTGAATTAGCCATAAAGGACGCCTCCAATCGATTCTTCGCTTAAAATGACTCCTAAATCACCAATAAAATAAATTTCAGTTTCGACAGAGAGGTATTTTTTATGGATGATGTCTTTCTCAGCACCACCTGCACCAATTTTTTAACCGTTTGATAGCTCAAACGCTAGACGAGACGCGGATCGTTTCAATGAATCGCGATTCGTACCTAGGTTCATTATTCTATTGTTAGATGATGTCTCATTATAAGTCATTATTGTATTTTTTAGTAATAAATTCTAGCATCGATTAACCGTGCTATTTGCTAATATGTTGACGTTTTTTATCGGCTAGTACAATATAGTTAGTTTGTAGGCCCAGCCGCTTGGCTTACGTGCAAGCAAAAACAACATGATGAAGATTGACCTGCTTCCTCGGAATTCGCGGTGGTCTACGAAGGACCCACGGACGCGCTGCGCCATCCGCAGGAAGCCGCGATATGGCTACGCATTCTGTATAATCAGCGGGTGCGACATCGTGCGATACTGCGTCGCTCTCTATAGCAGCTCAAACGCGACCGACTTCTTGAGGAAAAAACAAAAAACCGCCAGGGGATTTTGCGGAGGTGCGACTTCAGAATAGCCTGGCGAATGTAAAAAAAAGTTTGGACCCTGATTGCCCCCCCCCCACACACACCAAAGAAGAAGAAAACCAGTTACCCTCGCATGTTGACTGCCCGAAACGCCAAGTACATCGAGCAGAAGAAGCCGCAGGAGCGTAATTGATATAGAGAAACATCCTTCAAGCCCTTTTACCTTGCTTATCTTTGCATTTTGTACACTGGCGAATAGCGTGAGACATGGATACGCACAAATGATAATCTGAGTATGGTGCTGCTTATAATGTCGCACCCAGTCGGCGTAATTGCCCCTCCGGCTGTGGCCTGACACTTGGGGGTCAGGAGAAGTAGCTCGCGCAACCACACTCCCGTCTGCAAGCAGTCATCGATCAAAAGGCTGTCTCAGCCACCGAGGTCTACGAGTCCTCCGCCTCTTACCAAACTGCTTAGAAGGAGGAAGACGGACGTTAATCCGTGATCATGCGCAAGAAACGTCGTCTCCAAGAATTTCGTCAGGATTGTGATCATCGGTTCATTCTGCTATCGAATAATCAGCTAAAATGGTGAGATCCGGTAGGATGAATAATTAGCTGAATAGTCGCATTGCTTTAACGAGAGAAAAGAATGAGAGTAAACTTAGTATTGCACCATCTCCTAAGCAACCGCTTTATATCCATGTCAGCAGCACTTCTATAACAGGACGCACGCAGATACATGCCAGAAATGCAACCTACCGAATGGTGCTCTTTAAATTAATACCCGGATGCGTAGGCATCAATTTAAGAACATACTAGCACTGGTGTGATAAAGAAGAAACTGCAATTTGGATTCGATAAAGAACCCTGTAATTTGGATACTGTCCATTTTCGTTTGGAAATCAGATCACCGTATTCGTATGAGAAAGGTAATATATCCACTGGGATAGCTTTGCTTGCGCAATAGGCTTTTACAAACACACGCAAATTTAAAATACTGACATCACAAAATGAGGTCTGGGTTATGTAGCGTAGCTTATAGCGCTACTTCTGATTGCACCTGGAGTGATACCTTGTATCGTAAGTCCATGCGCAAAAATATTACTAAAGTAAAGTTTGTTCATCCATTCGAGGTGAATGAAACTAGTGGATTATCCTCGCGTACTGCGCATATAAACACCATTCTTCATTCCCGAACTTGCCCGCTCAAACCCCTAACTATGAGCTTAATCGACAGACAACAAGCGCCTGTTCCCCTCAACCACCATTATGCTGCACACCTTACACGGCGCAAAGCGAACCTTGTATTTATCTCCCCAGAGCCTGCCGTTAAATTCCTTCACGCCAACGTTAGCGCTGATCTCAACGCTAAGATTCCCATCGTGGGTGTTGATATGCTGGTTATCGCAAAGAAGAAATTTCACGGTGGCTGGAATATCTGCTTGCTACCAAAAGCCTCCATCCGATATCAAGAGCCTGATTATAACAATGGGTATCCGAGACAGGTGCGAAGCTGCGGATTGTTTGTCGGTGTGGAACATCAATCGTATCAACAGCAGCTAGGTGGATCCTGAAACCATTTTAATCGGCGCGGAGATCATTCCAGAGGATAAATAAGTCAACGTACCAGATAGCGGCGCGCGGTCGGGAGTACGACTACGGACGTTACGTTGATCAGCCGAACTGTGTGGATCTTTGTGGCCAACAATATGCTCCACAATACAGTGCGTGGCGCCCACCGAGTCAATTATCAGTGGTGGGCCTTCACGATCATACGGCGTACGCCCTGTACGTCCAGGGCGAGGTGGAGGCAGCTTCGAACGGTGCGTTGGACGCTCAGGTTGGGGCTGAGCGGGCGGAAGATCGTGCCTGGCGGGCTGAGCAGATCGCGTCGGAGCTTCGGCAGTCGAATCGGGAGCTGTTATCTCGCCTACGGGGATTGGAGACGCGTGTGCTTGGCTGTGCCCAGCAGGGAGATCGTCCGCGAGGGCTGACGGGTTTCTGGCGCGTCAGGCACGTCGGGCTGGTCGCCCGATGCATGCTCCGTCTGCTGGCCCGGGTCAGGAATCGTCGCAGGGAAGTACCGATTGAGTCGCCCGCTGTAAAATGTCAGCTGGAGTCTAAGTGACGACGGGATGTCCAAGGTGTAGGCGTCGCCCACAGACTTGGTTACTCGAAAAGGACCGATGAAGCGTGGAGCAAGTTTGTTGGCGCCGAGGTTGGTTACGGTGGAAGCGCGGATTCTCTCGGGCGATAGGAGGACGCCATCTAC